GGGCCACTAGTATTAAATAAAATGTCTTTGAACAGAGCGAGACATGTCTAAAGGCACCAAGATAGCCAAAAGGTGGAAACAACCCTTGCCCCTCAACAATGAATGGATAAACAAAATGTGGTACAGTATATCCATACAATGGAAAATAGGAGGCAAAGGAAAATGGCTGATTTACAGCTAGAAATGAAAAGAGATGAGACAGGAGAGTTCCCAGGTCAGAGGCAGGCAGTACCAAAGGATGAAGGAAGGAGAGGGCACGGAGGAGAAGAAAGCAGCCCAACAGAGAAAAGGGCTGGGCGGGGCTGGCTGGGCCATGTACTCAGCTGGAAAAAGCTGACCCCAGTGTGACTTTAGAAGGCTGGCCAGGGCTTGCTGGAGGCCAGGAAAAGGCCATTCTCAAAAAGTCACAAACCACACAAGCCTAGGTGTAACAATGCCTGAGTTCTCACCACCAGAGCACCCTTCCTTCACTCTGAGTGCTGCTTCCTCCTCTCCTAACAGGTGTAAAGCTCTGCGAGAAGCTGGGGGAAGCTCAGCAGGAGTCTGGTCCACTGTGAAGGAAGTTCAGCCCTGGTCGGTGGCTCAGGTGGCTGGAGCATTGTCCTGTACACCAAGTGGTTGCGGACTCAATCCCTGATTGGGCACGTACAGGAGATGGCTGATTGATGTTTCTTTCTTCCTGTCTGTCTGTCTGTCTCTCTCTCTCTCTCTCCCTTCCTCCATCCCTAAAAAATCAATAGAAACATATCCTCAGGTAAGGATTATTTTTTTAAAAAGAAGGTTCAAGGTAGACCCTGAATTAAAATCTGCCTCTTCCCAGTAACTTATTTAACCTCCCTAAAGCTTCTGTCACACAGGAGACCCGCCATGCAGAAAGATGAAGGGTTGAGTGAGGCACACAGGTAAATTACGTGCACACAGCGCTCGCACCACCCACTACCCCTCTCTAGCCTCTTAGCGTGAAGACATTTATCACATAATATTTCATGAGAGAATAGGAATGGGAAGGGGGTGAGAGAAAAGAAGGCAAAAAGAGGGCCCCACAGTCCTACCGGGTGTACGATGTGTTGGAACCACAGCCACAGAGAGCAGACCCGGGCAGGCCTGGCCTGGACAGGAGGGGCTGTGGGGCAGAGACTCAGGCCTGGGCTCAGATCCAGGCTGGGCCTCATGCTGCTCATGCTGGCCTGGTATCCAGTATCCCTGGGCAAGCTGCTCCACTCTGAGCCTGTGTCCTCCCAAATATAGTCCAGAGGTAATAATGTTACCTCCTCATGGAACTGTCTTTTTTTTTTTTAACTTTTTTGAGTTTTATTTATTTATTTATTTATTTATTTATTTATTTATTTATTTATTTATTTATAATCTTCACCCAAGGATATGCTTATTCTATTTATTTATTTATTTATTTATTTATTTATTTATTTATTTTTTAGAGAAAGAGAGAGAAACATTGATCAGTTGCCTCTCACAAGTGCCCTGATCCAGAATCAAACCTACAACACTCCAACCAACTAAGCTACCCTGCCAGGGCCTCATGAGACTGTCTAGACTAGAGACTCTAGAGGATTGAGTTCAATTATGCTCAGATACAGGCACAGAGGTGGCTCTCAGAAGGTCTCCTCAAACATCTGTGGTTATTGGAGGGATGGTGGAGGGAGCAAGAACCAATGTGAAGCAATGACCACTGGGAAGCAGTAGAGAAGAGAGGAACAGAAGGAATGAGGGTCAACAAGAAGAGAGATAAGTAAATAGGTGGAGAGGAAAGCAGGCCAGTGGGAGGTATCTCAACAGGGAGGGGCCATGGGTGGCTCAGAGATGAAAAGAAAAGGAGGGGAGATAAAATTCTTGAGTAGATAAAGGCCCTAAGCCCTTGGGGTAGCAGAGACTCTATCCATTCCCCAGCCCCACACCCAAAGGGCCAGTATTCTACCCATCACCTCTCCAGAAGCTGGGACCAGGAAAGCTGCCCCAGCCACTCCCTCTGAGCAGCCAGGGATGTGGGTGTCTGAGTGCCTAGCCCTAACACATCCAGGAAGTGGGTCACAGCACGTGGGTGTCCACAGACCTCCACGCTCACCCTACCCTGTGGCCTGCCCTGGAGCCACCAAAGGGGCTGATGAAGCTGTGATGAAACAAGCTTTTGGCCCCAGCACAGTGCCTGTCACAGCAGCCCCTCTGAATAGTCTGTGAAAGAAAGGCAAAACAGGCTCCAAGCTCAGCCTTGCCACAAATTCATGGTTCCTCTTGAGCCAGTCACTTCTCTTCTCTGGATCTCAGAGTCCCCACTTCAAAGAGAAATGGTGGGTAAGTAGAATATTCAGTGACAATATGATGAGCTATCAAGCCATGAAAAGACCTGGAGGAACCTTAAAGGCATATTGCTAAGTGAAAACCAATCTGAAAAGGGTACATATTGGATGACTGCAATCATATAACACTCTGGAAAAAAACAAACTGGAAACAGGGAAAAGACCCAGGGTTGCCAGGGAATTGAGGAAAAGGAGGAATGAACAGGTGGAGCAAAGGGGATCTGAGGGCAGGGAAGCTACTCTGCGTGATACTGTCAGGGCGGATACATGCCATTACACATTTGTTAACACCCACAGAATGAACAACACAAAGAGTGAACTCTGATGGACTTCAGTGTAAGGTGTTAATAATAAGAGCAAGTGGGGGAGAAGGGAAGGAACTATCTATACTTTCTGCTTAGTTTTTCTGTAAACCCAAAATTGCTCAAAAAAATAAAAGCTATTAATTTAAAAAACAAAACAAGCCCTAGCTGTTTGGGCTCAATGGATAGAGCATCAGCCTGTGGACTGAAGGGTCCCGGGTTTGATTCCAGTCAGGGGAACATGCCCAGATTGTGGCTCAATCCCCAGTGGGGGCCGTGCAGGAGGCAGCCGGTCAATGATTCTCATCATTGATGTTTCGATCTCACTCTCCCCCTCTTCCTTCCTCTCTAAAATCAATAAAAATATATTTTAAATAAATAAAAAACAAAGGTGGGGAGAGTAGGTCTTGCATGTTTTTTCTCCACAGGGCCTTTCCTCAGGATTCTAAAATAAAGCAAAATTTGAGAAAGTGCTTCACTTTAAGTAGGCCTGTCCTATGAAAATTCAGATCTCAAAATAGATAACTGAGCCTTTGCCTGACAGGACTTGTCACTGAATCCCGTCAAATGGCGATCCCTCTGGGAATTGACAGAACCAGGGCTCATACACACTCGCACAGCATGCCGCTCACCAAATGCTTGTTTCCCAGGCCTGGGGTGGATCTGCCTAATCAGCTGCTCACCCAAAAAGAGACAAGACCATGCCCCACCCTGCCAGGACCAGAGGTGCACCCACATCTGGCACCCGTGCAACACAAGGCACTTCAGGTGGGGGCTCTGAGTGCAGGCCTGCACAGGGAGGAGGCAGGCAGGGGCTCTGCGTGCTGGGGAGCAGCCCTCCAGTGCCCAGAGCATCAAGGGGCCTGGGAGCCCAATGGGCTCTGGGGCACCAGCATTAGCAGCTCCAGGAAAGCAGGGCTCCCTCTTCAGCTCTGCCCACACTCCACCTCTAGGCCTTAATCATCTCTGGAAAAGGTCTGTCCCAGGGAAGAATGAAGACTCCAGCATCTGGACAGTGCCACAGCTCCCAGGACACAGGAGTGGACAGGATGAACTGAGCATGAACAAGGGGTTAGAAGGAGCACCCATCCTACCCTTGGTCATTTTTCATAGAAATGTTCTTCCATCTCAGAGCCACTCTGCTCAGACAGAGATAGACATGAATTTTGAGATGCTCTAGAAGTTCCAATGGCCCAAAGCCCTCAGACCCTTGGCTGAGGTCACCATCACAGAGGACCCACCCTGACCCAGAAAATACAACCCACTGATTCTCTCTTGCACCAGCCACACTCCTACCCAGTGGCTTACCCCTGAAGGCCTGACAAATGCCCCACCTCCCATTCCAGAATGCATGGTCATTCAGTTTGGAAACAAGGCCATGTAAATGGCTGATACCCAGGCTGAGCACAAGCATTTGTTGTTCTATATGGGACCAGCCCAACCTGACCCAGCCAGCTATGGGGAATAGACCAGGCACAGCCAGCCAGAAAGGGAGATGCCCAGCAAACCATGCTCTATGGCAAGTGCTAAGCCAGGAACAGACTTAGCCAGGGCCTTCATGAAGGCCCTGTTCCTTCCTACCTTTTTCATAGGTCATTCTCTAGGAGTTTCCCCCACCCAGCCCGCTGCCTCATCCAAGTCCCACTTCACCCTTGAAGAAAGGTCAAGGCTCATGACACCAAACTCTAAACCTCGCTCTCAGAGTCCCTCACACACATCATCTTCTTTTGGAGATTTTTCTCCCTAAATGAGTTTTCTCCAAACATTTTTTTTTAATGTGTAAATCACACATCTGACTTACATGCAAAATATTAAAGTCAAAACACAGACAAAAGATTTGGATTGACACTTTACCAAAGATGTTACATGAATGGCAAACACCTGAAAAGATGTTCGACATCATTAGTCAGTAAAGAAATGCAAATTAAAACCACCATGAGATTTCACTACATACCCATTAGAATGGCAAAAACAAAAAGAAGCCTGATATACCAAGTGCTGTTGAAGATATGGAGCAAAGGAATGCTCATGCTTTGCTGATAGGAATGCAAAATGGCATACTTTGGGAACAGTTTGGTGTTTTCTTAAAACATTAAACACACACGTGCCATATGGAATACCACTTCCAAATATTCCCACTCCAAGAGAAATGAAGGCTTGTGTTCACACAAAAACCTGGACATGAATGTTGACAGTAGTTTTACTCATAATTGATAAAGGCTAGAAACAACCCAAAAGTCCTTTAATGGGTGAACGGATGAACACACTGGTGCATCCATCCACACAATGGAATACTACTCAGCAAAAGAAAGGAATGATATGCACAACTTGGATGGATCTCAAAACATTATGCTGAGTGAAAGATGCAGGCTCAAAAGCTACATACCATAGGAGTCCATCTGACATTCTTGAAAAGGCACAATTACAGGAGTGCAGAGTTGTCAGGGGATGGGCTTGGGGGAAGGGTCCTAGAGGGGCAGCACAGGAGGGCACCGTCTGAGGAGACAAAAGTTCTGCTTCTTGACTGTGGCGATGAATACCCAACTATATATATTTGTCTAAATCCACAGAACTGTGCACCACAGAGTAAATTTTGCCGTATGTAAATTTAAAATTACATTTTTAAAAAGTCCTCCTTATTCTGCCCAGAGGGCCCAGCTCCAATCTATCTCTTCCATAAAGACCAGTTATCTCCATGACTATAGCCCTGAAATCACTATTTTTTTCTGTCTTCCCAGATTTAGTCCTCTCTTCCTTCCTCTCTTTCTCTGTCCCTCTCTTGTTTATACACAGCGCAATCAAAACCCTACCCATCCCTGCCTAGCCAGCGTAGCTACCAGTAAGTGGTTGAGCATTGACCTATGAACCAGGAGTTCAAGGTTTGATTCCCAGTCAGGGCATGTGCCTGGGTTGTGGGCTCGATCCCCACTGTGGGGCGTGCAGGATGCAGCCAATCAATGATTCTCTCTCATCACTGATGTTCCTATCTCTCCCTTCCTCTCCATTCCTCTCTGTAATCAATAAAGAAAATTTTAAAAGCCACACAAAATGTTACTATAAATAAAAAAAGTTAAAAAAAAAACCTTACCCATCCAACAAAGCTTGCTCAAGTGCCTCCTCCTCTTGTGAAGTCTTCCCTGACTCCTCCCAGCTGCATCGGAATGAATCATCTTTACCAGGCACCCCCTTGTTTGTGCCTCTAATTAGCCCTTCTTTCATCTTACAGGCTGTCAGTGTTTGCTTTCAGTCTGTCTCTCCTGCTGTATCACAAGCTCGTTGAGGACAGGGACCAGGTCTTCCCTCCACATTCCCCCACTGCACCTGGCACAGTCTAGGCACACAGTGGGTGCTCTGAGACCACAGTGGATTGACTGAGGCCAGGTGCAAGCGGAGGAGGCTGATGCCAAGAGCATTGGGCTGGCAGTGCTGGGCTGGCAGTGCTCTGAGTGGTACTTTGCCCTATGTAAATTTAAAATTACATTTTAAAAAAGTCCTCCTTATTCTGCCCAGAGGGCCCAGCTCCAATCTACCCACTGGTAGCCACTGGTACTTCTCCTGCACAAGCAGCACAAATACTGCCTAAACCTTCAAATACTGTAAGTGACCTCTGCTCCCTTCCAACATGAGGCCATTCAACTTACGATGGAACATTTCTGAAGATGCTTTTGCTTCCTCCATGCCACCCAGCACCATTCCAAGCCCCAAGCAGAAAGATGTTGGGCGCGCACCTGTTGAAGGACTGGAGTCTCTCTTGTCATCAGGGTGTGTCATTTCTCACTTCCAGAAGGCCCTCTCCGCAGCAATAGCAGGTCAGGTCCATCTGCTCTGAGACAAGTCCATTATGTAGAACTCCCAGGCACAGGCACAGTGAACCGGCAACACCACAAGACCACTCTGTGACTGGGTTTTTCCAAGCACGTCCCCAGCCTCTCTTTATAAATTCTAGCTTGTCCAGGGCTTAAGGACCATCTATAAGCGATTTATTTGATAAAAACTTATACAGTGGTTAGTATTTGCCAGGCAAAAAAACTAAGCACTTTATAAACAATAACCGGTTTAATCTTCACATCAACCACATGAGGTTGGCTCTACTATTATCATGCCCATTTTGCAGAGGAGAAAATAAGGCACATTGCAGTCAGATAACTTGCTCCAAAACTATCCTGTCCAAACTTAGCCACTAGTTCCTCATGGCTACTGAGCACTTGAAAAGTGGCTAATTCAAATTGAGATGTGCTATTAAAGTGTAAAAGAATACATGCTAGATTTCTAACACTTTGTATGAAAGAAAAAGGTAAACTATCTCAATTGTTTTAAAGTATTGATTATATGTTTAAAAATATTTTAGGCATAGTAGTTTAATAAAACACATTATTAAAATTCATTTTACCACTTTCTTTACTTCTTAAATGTGGCCCCTAGATGACTTAAAATTATCTATCTGGCTTATGCCATATCTCTATTGGACAGCACAGGTCTGGAGTCTGAGCTCGTAGCCACCACGCCATGCTGGAGTCATCTTCCCCTGCCCCCGCCTCAGGGTGCAGCCTGTCCCTAACACCTGTTCATGCAGCTGGTACAAAGATGATGGGGAGCCAGGCAGTAACTCCCACATCTCCCCTTTCTGTCTCCTCTAACTGCCTGGACCCTGCCCCACCCCGCCCCCACATCTCTCAGCCTTGCCTCCATCAGGAATCCCAGAATGCCAAAGTGGGAAAATACCTCCCCCATTGCCTACTACAATCCCCACTTGCTGCATGTGGAGAAACTGAGGCCCAGAACCACATGGATGACCTAGATGTCATCTGGTCCAATTTCCCACCCAGTGCAGAGACCTCCAAAACATCCCTAACGAGTTCCAGGTAATGAAATTCTATGTAGTTCTAGGTGGTACTATGCAGTGAAACTGACTTAGAGCAGATGGAGCTGATGTACTACTCCTGCAAAGAGGGCCCGCCTTCTGGAAATGTGAAATGAACCCTGATGATGGGACGGGTCCAATCCTCATCTGCCCTCTGCTAAGACACTCACAATACCAGCAAGCTGCATGGTTAACAGGTCAGGGCGTATCCACCCTCCAAAAGCAGAGGTGACTCCCAAGGTGGCCCAAGCAGCACAGAACTTAGTGGACTAAGGTTTTCCTTGACACAAATCCCACCACACCGCTAGGCACACAGACTCGGTTTAAGGGGTGGTACGAAGACTCAGATCAACCTGGGTTCAAACTCCAACCCAAGCATTAATCTCTGTGTAACTTTTTTCCTCTTCTGTATAGTAAAGGTTAAAAAACAAAACAAACAAAAAACGAACCCTACCTCACAAAGATTAAAGGAGATGATGTAGGCAAAAATGTCTAGAATAACACCTGGTACCTAGTAGGCACTTCATAAATGTTCATTTCCCTTCCCCTTCCTTTGTCAAATGAAAGCCCAAATATGTTTTCACCACAAGAATTGATAGTTCCTATTCTATACTTTTATAATTGATGTTTTGAACTTAAATGCAGGATTTTACACTTAAATCTATTAGATTTTATCTTGAGGAAAGTATACGTGTTCACATTGCTAGATAGCAAGTAATTTTCAATGGCTAAAAGTCGAAAACAATTTTTGAAAGTGCAGTAGGGTACAGTTAAATAAATTAAGGGGCATTCTGCCTGGCCAAGTGTGGCTCGGTGGTTGAGCATTGACCCATGAACCAGGAAGTCACAGTTCGCTTCCCAGCCAGGGCACATGCCTGGGTTGTGGACTCGATCCCCAGTTGGGGGACGTACAGGAGGCAGCCAATCAGTGATTCTCTCTAATCCTTAATGTTTCTATCTCTCTCCCCCTCTCGCTTCATCTCTCTGAAAAAAAGAAACAGAGAATGCACTTAGTCTGTGCCAGGTTTGCGTTAAAAGATAAATTTTAAAAATTAAGGGGCATTCATATAACGTAATCTTATTCAGACCCTTACAATTATGGTTTTAAGTGATTTTTTTAAAAAATATATTTTATTGATTTTTTACAGAGAGGAAGGGAGAGGGATAGTTAGAAACATCGATAAGAGAGAAACAGCGATCAGCTGCCTCCTGCACATCTCCCACTGGGGATATGCCTGCAACCAAGGTACATGCCCTTGACCGGAATCGAACCTGGGACCCTTCAGTCCGCAGGCCGACGCTCTATCCACTGAGCCAAACCGGTTTCAGCAGTTTTAAGTGATTTTTATGACATGGGATATTGCTCACTATATAGTATTCAGTAGGAAGAAAGGAGTATAATTGCAATTATTTAAAATATATAGTTTACATGAACACAAAACGGGAGAGACCTATACCAAAATACTAACTGTGCTCATCCCTAAGTTGTGGTACTATGCACCATTTTGTTTCTCCTTTAACTTATAAAGGTTTTCTACAATGAGCATGTATGAGCTTTAACAGACAAAATGTTTTTTAATTTCATATTTCTGCATTCTAGTCAATTAAAATGACTCAGAATCCTGCTTGCTGCCTTAAACACCCACAGAATCTACAGAGGACAAGAGAAGACAGCTCTGAGACATATTGCTGGAGACCTCCCCACAGGGTGACGTGAGCTCCATTCAGTACCCAGGATAACCTTTCAACCAGGTACCAATCCATCGTACTGCTGTATCAGCCAGATCATACTTCTCTCAAACCCAAGAAAATCACTAGACTCAAAGTTCTTACTGAACATTCCTCCACCCAAACTATATTATTTTCCAAGACTTGATAGAGTGAACATGTGGTGGCTATTAGTTACCTCAACTTCATTTTGAAGTCCCCTTAGACTTTTTTTGTTCAAATATCTGACCTGGAATTTGGGGGACCAACAAGAAGCCTAACAGCCTGACACTTCCAGGATCCCCAGCTTGCTACATTGAAGAAATAAATGAGGGCGGCATTTGTTATTTGGCAACTCTTATCTCCGCCCAGACCCTGGAGTGATTCCGTGGTCACTCATACAGCTTCGCAGGACCCCAACCACAAGCCAGAAGGGAGTGGCAAGAAATATTCAAAGTGATGAATACCAAGAACCTACAACCAAGATTCCTTTATCCAGCAAAGCTATCATTCAGAACTGAAGGTCAGATAAAGGGCTTCACAGATAAGGAAAAGCTAAAGGAGTTCATCACCACCAAACCAGTATTATATGAAATGCTGAAAGGTATCCTTTAAGAAGAGGAAGAAGAAGAAAAAGGTAAAGATACAAATTATGAACAACAAATACACATCTATCAACAAGTGAATCTAAGACTCAAGTGAATAAATAATCTGATGAACAGAATGAACTGGTGATTATAATAGAATCCGGGGCATAGAAAGGGAGTGGACTGACTATTCTTGGGGGGGGAAAGGGTGTGGGAGATGCGGGAAGAGACTGGACAAAAATCGTGCACCTATGGATGAGGACAGTGGGTGGGGAGTGAGGGCGGAGGGTGGGGTGGGAACTGGGAGGAGGGGAGTTATGGGGGGGAAAAAGAGGAACAAATGTAATAATCTGAACAATAAAGATTTAATTAAAAAAAAAAAAAAGAGTCTGGCAACCAGAACTCAAAAAAAGCAAAAGCAACTCAGTGTGGTCTGATCCTCTTTCCTCCCACAGTCCTCCTTAACCTTCTCACAAAGTCTGTTCTACCCTCACAAAGATCAAGGCAAGATAAGAGACTGCCTCCCAGAACATTCCACCACCTGCCTCAAGCAGGAATCTCCCCCTGACTGTCTTGTGCCTTCTTGCTCTGCCTGTGCCTGAAAAAAAAAAAAAAAAAAAAGAGAAAGAAAAGAAATCCCTTTATGTTGTCCAGCTGATCCAGGCCTGTTGCTTCCCACCCAGAGCTCTGCCCACTGCACAAATTGCCTCCCCAGTCAACTATTACTCAAGGCTCAACGCCAAGATGGAGATCATCCAGGAAGAAACAAAAGTAGCCTTTAATCCGGTCAGAAAGATTCACGCAGACGTCTCAAGGGGCTTGAAGGGAAGGGGAAGACCTGGCTCTGGCAGGGGTGAGCCGGGCAGCAGCGGGGCTGTCAGGTATCGCACACAAAGCCTTTGTTAGTGAGACAGGGAGCAGAATGCTCCGCCAGATAATGGGCTCTAAGCAGCTCAGGTTTCACTGAGTCAACAGCCCCCTTCGGAGGAGAGGCCCACCCTATGTGTCATCAGCCCCTCCCCAGTGCCCTTTGCACTGATCCCAACACCCTGTCCTTCCTTTCGGCCGGATATGCAATCCCATCCCCCAGGAGGGTCACCCAGCCTTAGCACAGCTCCCATTTCCTGCCCCTGGTGACTCCTCTGAAGTCTATTGTTCCCATGAAGTTTGGGTCAAAGGAAGCTGCGTTCCCACCCATGGGGGCCCGCCTACCCTCAGCACCGCCAAGGAGCTGGCCCACACCACAGGGAGCCAGGCCCATCCTCTTGCCTTTCCGTGAGCCTGCCAGTTTTAAAGGCAGGAGAGGTGGGCACAGATCTTAGGGACTGGAGTTTTAGTGGGAAAGTTTCCAAAGATCCAGTCGCTACCAGCTGAAGGCTCCAGGACCATGTCACACAGGTGATTAGAATCTCCCCAACATCTAAATGGAAAACCCAAAAGTAAGGGAAGAACTGTCCTTTCAGAAGGGGTCAAGGCAAAGCTGGAATTAAAACACAGAAGTTGGTGCCCTGGCTGGTGTGCTCAGTGGTTGAAGCGTGGGCCCATTCAGGGTCACAAGTTCAATTCCTGGTCAAGGGCATGTACCTGGGTTACAGGTTCAATCCCTGGTCCCAATTCAGGGCTCGTGTGGATGGCAACCTATCGATGATCGATGTGTCTCTCCCACATTGACATTTCTTTCTTTCTTTCTTTCTTTCTTTCTTTCTTTCTTTCTTTCTTTCTTTCTTCTTTCTCTCTCCTTCCTTCCTTCCTTTCTTTCTTCTTTCTTTCTTTCATCTATCTATCTCTTTCTGTCTCTGTCTCTATCCCTTTTTTTCCCTCCCTCCCTCTCTCCCTTCCTCCCTCCCTCTCTCCCTCCCTCCCTCCTTCCCTTCCTCCCACCCACCCTCTCTCCCTTCCACTCTGTAAAAAAAATCAATGAAAAAAATATCCTCAGGTGAGGATTAACAAAAAAATTTTTTAAATAAATAAAATAAAATAAAACATAGGAACTGGAGACTGTGCTGCCAGGGACAAAGCCCTGCCCCCACCTCCACCTGGGCCCCAGAGCGATTAAAGCAAGGGGGGGAAGGGGGGTCGGAGAGCAGCTGTTCAGCTCCAATTTCAGAGCTTTAAAGGGAGCTCTCCTCCCAACCCCTGCCAACAAAGGGTCATGGAGGGCAAAGGAAGACAGGCTAGGTAGAGCCATCCCTACAAGCCCTGAATTTCCCGGGACTGACCAGAACAACAGGAAAGTCAGCGGAGCAAAGTGGTGGCCCATGTCCTCCACCTCCACCGGAGAAGGAAAGAAGCCACAGATTAGGCAAAAGGTATTGCTCTGTGACAGTCACTAGCACAAGACTCCAGAATGGAAACCACAGGAGACTGTGATAATCTGCATCCCAGGAGACCTTAGAAAGATAGAGACCTTCTCCACCTGGCTGAGTCATGTACAGACCAGCAAGGAGAATAGAGGGTGCGTTTTAAAGACCTCTTAAGGATCCCTTCCAGAGGTGGCATTCTCAGATTCCACAGTTCTGTGCTTTTTGCTGGTTCGGAGACAAGTATTTCTGCCTCCTAACAACCTTATCTGAGCCACAAGATGACAGACATCACCCATATCAAACTGTTACAGCCTCCACCCCTGTTAGATGAAGGTGAACAGGGGGTCTGAACATTGGGATCCACAGAGCAAGAGACAGAATGCAAAGTGAAAACAGTAGGTTCAAGTCCCAGGTCTGCAACTTATTGGTTGTGCAAGCTTAAGCAAGTTACTGTCCCTCGAGGGGCTTCAGTTTCCCTGTTGTTATTTTTAAAATGTATATTTTTATTGATTTCAGGGAGTAAGGAAGAGGAAGAGAAAGAAACATCAATGATGAGAGAATCATTGATCAGCTGCCTCTTGCACACCCCCCGACCAGGGACCAAGCCCACAACCCGGGCACATGCTCTGACCAGAATTTTACAGTGACCTCCTGGTTCACAGGCCGACACTCAAGTACTGCCAGGCCAGTTTCCCTGTCTTTAATATGAGGGAGCTAGATGCTGAAATTAGAGTGCCCAATAATGTTCAACAGGTTTACCCTGCGGTCAAGGCAAAACTGGAATTAGAACATAGGACTTGGAGGCCCTGTGGTCCCCTGTGACAAAGCCTGTCCCCACCTGCACCTCGCCCACAAGCTATCCTGGTCCTAAAGAAGAGCATGGTACAGGGCCTGGCCTATAGTAAACACCCAATTCAGGTTTGTTAAATAAACAGGGCAGGGTCTAGCAAAGGATGTTCAGAGAAGTTCCCAGGAAAAATGAGGTTCCATGCTGAAATAAGTTGGGGCGCATTGGCTACTGAGTCCCCAGGAAATGCCATGCACTGTGCTAGGTACTTTGCAAACATTGAAATTTCACAACAAACTTTTTGGGTATATATCAACTAACTCCCTCCCATATTACTCATCAGAAAACAACCTCAGAGTCTCAAACATAGTGAGGTAATGGCCAGCATTGTATACAGGTATGTCTGACCATGAAACCTGTACCCTTTCCACACTATCAATGCTGCCTTTAGAACAGACACCCTTGAAGCCCCGGCCACACACCTGGCCTAACCAGGTAAGAGTGAGGAGGGTCCCACCAGAACATTGGCATCCTCAGGGTGCATGGAGGAGCAGTGACCAGAGTTCCCATCCCAATGAGAGCAGTCTTGTTCCTTCCTTCCAAGAAACCCTAAAATATATGTCCATATCATCATGTTGTGGGAATGCAGAACCCTTGAGGGCAGGTCTGCCTGTGTACCCTAACCCCCACCCCACATACTATGTCACTTCCCCTGCCCAGTTCACTCCTTGAAAATGTTTCTGATAGTAAAACTCCAAATGGAGAGAAAACTGAAAGCAAAACAGAAAGAGATGAGGCAATGGAGACACCCAGGGGGGTCTCCTACTGCTCAACTAGCGAGTCAAAGGCAACCCTTCCCTCCTATGCTGGCACTGCAGCATTCAGGAAATGTGCCAGTCATTCGCCTTGCTGCCACAGGAAAGTGTCGGATGGTCTAGAAAGCTGTAAAGAATTAAAGGTTCATCCATTTGACTGCACGGGCAGCTCCAAGGAGAGCTGGACCACTAGAAAGTAGCTGTGGCTGGCATACACGGATTCCTCTTTGTCCTGGGGGCCAACTTTAAAAGTGTTGTCTATACAAATCTCCAGTGTTGTCTATTCAAATGGTCTCCTCCCCGTGATCTCCCCCAACCCTAATGATCAATAACCCACCCCATCAACAAGTGACAAAGATCTCAACTTCCTTTAGCCTTCTACCAACTTGTTCTCTGCTGTTCCAGGCAAGAAGAGAACCCCCCTCCCTCAGAAAGACAGCTTCCTTCCAGCTCTGCCGGGTCCAGGCGAGTGGTGCCTGGGGGCCACAAGCTCCAACAATCGGAGACACTGTCTCTGGCCCACAGTGACGCAGGGAGGAAGCCCAGTCATGCCCCAAACCAACATCCTCGCAGAAAAAGACACACTCAGAAACACACAGTCCTCAGACGCTCGCTCACACTTTCAGACAGACAGCACTTTTCTCACATGGAAATACGCTCAAACAAATACACCTACTAGGCCAGATGGACTCATGTGAACAGATACCAGCCTCACATACACGCAAAGCCGAGGCAGGGCAGTCGGACTACTTCACATGAGCTCACCAGAACCCTTCACACGTCTGTGCGCAGACAGGGTGTTACCGAGAAACGTTTGCTTTGGGGCTCGGGAGCCTCCAGTCCCCATCAGGGGCACAACGGGCTTCTCAGCCTGCAGAGCAGGGACCTCAGGACCGGTCCCCTTTGCTCTCCCAACGCTGAGCACTTAACAACCAACACGCCTACCTCCCAAAGGACCCAGCAGAGTAAGAGGCGTGGGTGCTGGGCCTCTTCCATCGCCGGGGTCCTCGGTTCTGCCTCTGGTCTTCTCGGCTCCCCACGCCCCCTTTCCCCAGCGCCCCGCGCAGCTCGCCCCGACCCTGCGGTCCGCAGAGCCTCCACGTGCCCGCTCTCCCCCAGTCCGTCCGGGTCGGAGCGCCTCGCGCGCCCCTCGCCCCGACGCCTGCCCGCAGGCCAGGGGCTGCCCCTCCCTCGCCGCCCCGCGCCTTACCGGTACCAGAGTGAGGGGAGGCGCGGTGGCTGCGCTAAGCCAGGTCCTCGGAGTCCGTCCCGCGCGCCAACTCTGGAAGCCGCGGCCCCGCCGAGTTCCCGAGCGCACGGCGCAGGCTCTGCGGGGACGGGAGGGGGTCAGCGCGGAGACCCGGCCCCCGCCCGGAGGCCGCCCCGCTGGGCGGAGAGGAAGGCGGGGCCGCGGACCGGGCCGCCCCGGCGCTCCCGAGCCCGGCTCGCCGCCACCCAGCGGCTCGCGGAGCGGCGCGGCGCGGAGGGAGGAGTTTTCCCAGAACCGGACTGCCGGGAAGGTCCGGAGACCCCCACGCCAGGAGCGGTGAGTCAACGGCCCAGAGGAAGGGAGCCGGGGCCGGGAGGGGCGGGTTGCGGGGAGCAGGAGCGGGGTCGGGCCGCCGAGGGAGCGGCGGAGCGCGGCTGCGGAGCCGGCGGGAGCCCGGAGTCCGGGGCGGGAAGGGGCGAGCGGAGCGCGCGGCCGGGGCGGGGCGCGGCGGGCCGTGCACTCACCTGGGGTGCCCGGCAGCAGGCGCCGGGGCCGGAGCTGCGGGCCCTCCCACCCGCTGCCTGGAGTTGGAAAGGACGGAGCCTGGAATGTGCGGAATGAGGGCTGGTACGAGATGCGCGCAGCTGAGGAGGGAGCTGGAGGGCGTGGCAGCCCGGGCCCCTCGGGGTGGAGTCTGGGACGCGGGCCGGCGGGGGCGGGAGCCGGGCGGAGGGCGCGGAGCTGGCGGCCCTGGGACGCCGACCCCCGACTTTGACCTCAGTTTCTGGATCCGGCCCCCGCTGCTCCCCGCCCACAAGCGTTCCCTTTGATCTCTCGGCCGGACTCCCCCGCTCCCCGAGCCCCGGTTCCTGCCCCTCCGGGCGGGGTGGCCGACTCTCCGTCACGGGAGCTGAAAACCTTCCCCTGGGCCGGAGCGGGCATGTCTACGCGACTAGCCGCGGGCTTCGCAGCCGGCCACCCTCCACGTTTACGAACGACATCCCTCCGCACAAGTCCCGGAAAGGCCGGGCAGGGGCGGGCTGCGGGCGCGCAGGAAGGGCTGCTCCTTCCCCGCGGCTCCCACCGGGGACATTCACTCCGGGGGACCAGGAAGCAGGAACTCCGGGCTCTAGTCCCAGCCCGCGGCCAGTGCCCCCGCGCTCGCGTGCCCTCCCGTCATGAGCCCTTCAGTCTCTCTTCTGTCCCTCGCCGATCTGCAGAGATGTCCCTGCAAAGAGTGCGCACTCTTTGGAGAAGGAGTAACTCCATGACTATTTATTCAACAGGTATTATGTGTCCACCAGGTGCTGTGGAAACAGTGAAGGGTAAGACCTCAGCACCTACCCTCGAAGGAAGAACTTGTCATTTAGCTGGGAAGAACACTGCCATAACGTGGGAATCTGGGTGTTAAACGCACCAGCAGAATTTAGTATCTTGAGAGCTGCTAGAACCTCACTGAGCTCCTGTTTGGAAGTCTTCAGAACACTTTGATTTAAAGTAAGGTGTTACCACATACCTCTGTTGTCCACCTTGTTGGGAGGGTGAAACCAAAGAACTTTTGAAAAGCTTTTTTGGAAAAATCAAATCCAACCTTTTTGGGCTCTTGTCACTTAGCTTTGAATTTCGATGGTTGTCCAGATCTTATCTCCCTCATCAAACAGAAACTTCCTTGAAGACTGAGTAAATGTCTGATTTATCTCCCACCCAGCACCAACTTGGTGTCTGGGATAGATAAGTACATGAAAAATATTGAAAAAAATGAAAAATGCTATCACAGAGGATATTGAAAAGAAAGTGCTATAAATGCCAAAGTTGTTTCTACAAGAGGTATTCCAAAGATGTTTTGAACAATGACAGCATCACTGGAGGAAGAGTGAAGGCAGCAGCTCTCATTAGCATATATAAATTCTGGTATGCTTGTTAAGTAATGAGTCACAGGAGGACCTGGCCACACCTCATACACATGAAAAGATTGCAATACAGGACAGTGTATAGGCATTAGCCCTTTTATATAATCATCATCTGCTGAGTGTCTGTAGACTGAGCACCATGCTAAGTGCAGGGGTAGGTCCCTGCCCTGTCCTCAAGAAGTTCACAGTCTAGGTGGGAAGATGAGAATTATAAAGTTCAACGGAAAACCAAAGTAAGGAACACTGAAATTCAAGTTACAGAGTGGACATTGATCTAGCTCCTGAAGGATAAATGAGAATTTACCAAATTAAGACTGGAATACTGCCTGGCCTGTGTGGTACAGTGGTTCATTGTCGAACTATGAACCAGGAGGTCATGGTTCCATTCCCAGTCAGGGCACATACCCAGGTTTCCAGCTGGATCCCCAGTGGGGAGCATGCAGGAGGCAGCTGATCAATGATTCCCTCTCATCATTGGTGTTTCTATCCCTCTCTCCCTTCTCTCAGAAATGAATAAAAAAAATCAAAAAATAAATTTAAAAGAAAAGACTAAAATAACCACAAAGGTATAGTACAGAGGGGTGGTTAGGAGAAGTCTTGTAAATTGGTGTGGCTAGAGAATAGGAGCTGGGGAGAGTAGGTTACAGTAAGTGGGTGCCATGTTGTGGAGATCATTGGATTCCATGCTGAAGAAGGGTATCAAAAGGCCCTTTACACACAGGTGTGACATAACCAGTACCAACATCAGAAAGACCCCTCCGGCAACAGTGTCAGGGCTGCATCAGAGAATCAGGTGCCTTAAACTCAGGCAGTGGTCCTGAGGCTGATATGGGAAAGGGTGTAGGAAATAGTCCAGAGTTGAAATAAACAAGAACAGGTGACTAAGTGGGCTGTGAGGGTGAGAGAAGAAACAAAAATCACTAAATTTTGACAACTGAACTATTGGTGGTACCATTAACTGAGACAATTCAAATAGGAGAAACAGGGTGAGGTAGTAGGTGGGTCCAGCCAGGTTCAGAGGATTGAGGGGAAGGCAGGACAGAGCCTAGGGTGGAGACAGAACAACCTTTGAGTGTCACTTCAGCACAGACTACTGAGAGGAAATTTGGAGATCAGACAATTATTCCCAAATTTTAACTGTCAAGACTGTAACTGGTCCTAGCTGCAATGGTGTGACCTGAGACTTCAGCCTCCTGGTCCATGCCCTTACAGGCTTCTAGAGAGCTCTGTGCTTTCAGAAATGGCATGTTCCCAAGTTGTTGAGGTCCCTCTGGCTAAAGGAAAGTTCTTAGATGTAGAAATTGTGAAGGGTGAAAGACTGACCGATTTTATACTGATTTTTATGTCCTGCCCTTACTAGGGGTATTTACATTTAATAGACAGGACTCTCATTCCTTGACCCTCAGGAATAAATTTGTTGGTGGAAATATTTCATCTCTCTGGATCCAGCTAATAGAAAAGCATATGGCTGCCCTCAAATGACAACATATAGTCCACAACTCCCCTCAATTCCTAGTGATCCAGACCACCTAGTCCTCACTCAGGCTTGCTGAGGAGTGGTGCAGAAAGTTGGATGTGGTCAGAGCCCCTCTTGATGTAGGGAGGGTATCTGTGTTGTCTCTACTCCAAAATGAAAGTCAAAAATCATACTAATTATTCTTATGTTGTTTGATATAATTTGCATTTCTTTAATAAATTTTGTTTTTCCAACCTCTATGGTCATAATTACACAAAATATCCATATGATACTGTGTTAATCAAATTCAGGCACATCTATACCCTGGCCGGTATGACTTGGTTGAGCATCATCCCATGTACCAAGACGTTGCAAGTTTGATTCCCTGCACATGCCCAGGTTGTGGGCTTGTGCAGGAGGCAGCCAGTCAATGTTTCTTTCTCGCTCTCTCTCAAAATATCACTAAAAACATTTTTAAAAATTCAACCATATCACCCTGACCAGTTTGGCTCAGTGGATGGAGCGTCGGCCTGTGGACTGAGGGGCCCCAGGTTCGATTCTGGTCGGGGGCATGTGCCTTGGTTGCGGGCACATCCCCAGTGGGGGGTGTGCAGGAGGCGGCTGATCGAGTTTCTCTCTCATCGATGTTTCTGACTCTCTGTCCGTCTCCCTTCCTCTCTGTAAAAAATCAATAAAAAATATATTTCAAAAAATTCAACCATATCTATGTGATGAAATAATTCTTTACAGCTATTAACTTTTTTTTTTTTTTTAATAAACCAACTGTGGAGATGTTGAGCAGGTAGTTAGATAACACTTGCAGAGCTAAAGAAAGAATTTCAGACTGTGGGAGATGTCAAATGTAAAATGGGAGTTATTCAGTATGAAGAGTGAGAAAGAAGATTAAAATAAATAACATGGGTCCCTGGAATACTGTATATACTCAAAACATGTTGGTAAAATTTCTTAACGTGCAAATTATCCGTGCATAGGGGACTAGTTAAAAATACTATGGTGCGCCCAGCCGGGTGTAGCTCAGCCATAGAGCGCCGACCTAGGAACCAAGAGATCACCAGTTCGATTCCTGGTCAGGGCATATGCCCAGGTTGCGGGCTTGATCCCCAGTGGGGGGTGTGCAGGAGGTAGCCAATCAATGATTCTCATCATTGATGTTTCTATCTCTCCCTCTCCCTTCCTCTCTGAAATCAATAAAAATATATTTTTAAAAAAACAAAACAAAAAAACCCACTATGGGGCGCCCTAACCACGTAGCTCAGTTGGTTAGAGTATCGTCCTGATATGACAAGGTTACAGGTTTGATCCCAGGTCAAGGCACATGTAAGAATCAACCAATGAGCCCTGGCCTGTGTGGCTCATTTGGAGCATCATCCATGCACCGAAAGGCTGCCAGTTCAATTCCTGGTCAGGGCACATACCCAGGTTGTGGGTTGGATCCCTGGTCAGGGTTCGTTTGGGAAGCAACCAATTGATGTTTCTCACATCAATGTTTCTCTCTTTTTCCTTCTTCTCTGTCTAGAATCAATAGAAACATATCCTTGGTGAGGATTTTTTTTGAAAGTAGCAATACTATATTAAAGTAGCAATATTTTTTTTTAAAGAATCAACTAATGAATACATAAGTAGAACAATGAAATTGATGTTTCTCCTTTCCTCTCTCTCTCAAAATCAATAAATAAAAACAAAAGAACCACTATGGAACTTACCACAATGAAATACTGTGGAGGATAAGCAAGTATGAGGAAGGGCTGCATTTATTGACATGGGAATTATCTCCAGGATATATTAACTGAAAAAGCAAGCTACTGAACAGAGTATATAATATGCTACCTTTTGTGCACAAAGGGTGGGAAATTACGAATACGTTTTTATTTTTGCATAAAGAAACTGGAAAGATACACTAGAAAGAAACTAAAAGTGGTTAACTATAAGCGTAGGACAGGGCAAGGAAAACAAGAAGGGACAGATAGGGAACAAGGCTTTAATTATATAGTCTTTAAACTTTGTTTTCTTCGTTGTTGTTTTAAATATATTTTCATTGATTTCAGAGAGGAAGGGAGAGGGAGAGAGAGAGAAACATCAATGATGAGAGAAAATCATTGACTGGCCACCTCCTGCACGCCCCCGCACTGGGATTGAGCCCACAACACGAGCATGTGCCACTGACCAGAATCGAACCTGGGACCCTTCAGTCTGCAGGCCGACACTCTATCCACTGAGCCAAACCTCTAGGGCACTGCTTTGTTGTTTTTTAAAAAATATGTTTTTATTGATTTTGAGAGAGAGAGGGATAGAAACATCGAGGAGAAACATCATCAATTGGCTGCCTCTTGCACGCCCCCTACTGGGAATCGATCCAGGAATCTGGGTGTGTGCCCTGATTGGAATTCAAACTGGCAACCTCGCAGTGCAGGAGATGATGCTCCACAAATTGAGCCACATCTGCCAGGCAAGTAATTTTTTTTTTTAAACCCGCACCAGAGGATATGCTTTTCATTGACTCTAGAGAGAGAGGAAAGAAGAGGTAGAGGGAGAGAGAAACATTGATATGAGAGCGAAGTATCGATTTGTTGCCTCCCAAATGAACCCAAATCAGGGATGGAACCCACAACCTGGGTATGTGCCCTGACCAGGATTTGAACCAGGAATCAAACCTACGACCCTCAGTGGATGGGATGATGCTCTAACCAACTGAGCCACACCAGCCAGGGCTAGTCTTTAAACTTTTTTTGAATTTATTACTATTTAAAATTTATATACCTGCTACATAAGACTGAAAGCAAAATCATGACTTTTTTGAAAGTAATATTTTTATCTTACATTGGTTAGTTTGTCCTGAGCATGCCTTAGTACCCTAGAAATTGCATTTAGACTCCACTTTAAAAAATCTTGATCTAATTCCTAGCTCTCGCCTGCCTGTGACCCTCCTTTACTCTCAGACCATTCTTCTTCCTAACTTTCTTGAGCCAAGACTACAGAGGAGAGAGAACTACTGAATTATTACACTCGGAGTCCTTGAAAATCATGAGAAACAGAACCTGAGTAGGTAGTGCTTAACTACATGTTAAAACACTGAGGCTTAAGAATCACTATGTTAAACCAAAACGTGTAGT